GTGCATCGCGATCGTGCAGCCAGGTAGGGCACCAGCCGTGGTGCGGACCGCGTAAGAAAAGGTCGCCCCCTGGCGGGTCCTCCTGGGCGCCATATACATGGAGAGCACCACCCTGAGAACATCCGAAGGGAAGCCGTAGTACTGTGCCGCTCTGATGATCTTGATCCACTGGAGCCTGTCGAAACATTTGCTGATGTCCACCAGCGTGGTCATGACGGCCTCGCCCTCTGTCGTGTCCGTCGCCTCGGCGTAGACCATGGTGCGAGCTCCCACGTCAATAGTTGATCTCCCCGTCCCTAATGCAAAATATGGCCTGTCGTGGGCCGCCAGAAATCTGCGGGTGTGGCCTGTGCGCACCTTGGTGTAGACCCTGTAGATGGGGGAAAAGGAAGGCGATCGGGCGGAAGCCACCCTGCGCCTTCGTGAGGAGCATCACGTGCACGGCCATGATGGACGATGGCGATCTCCCCCATGACTCCGATGCCCGTATAATGTAAATCAGCATGGCCAGCGCATCGTCGGACAGGATGGAGTAAGCACGGGGGGGGGGGGGGGGGCACAGCGTCTACGCCCAGGCCCGTCTCCCAAGCGAAAGTCCTGGAGGCCGTTCGCATCTCGTCTATCCGAGGGCGTCCGGCGCGAGGCTGCGAATGAGCTCGGGTATCTCGCCACCCATGTCGATGATGTGTTCTATATCGTACTCACTGGCAGTGGCCATCCGCTGGGGGCGCTGCCCCCTGCCGAGGTCATCCTGGACATCCTTGATGACAGTATCCTGATCTGGCTTCTGCGCGAGCACAGTGCCCTTCAAGATGTCGTTCCAGAAGTCCCTATGAATGCCAGCCACCGCCTGAGGAAGTGCCGTGCGTATGCCAAACCTGTCCACTTCGTTGTGTGCCCAGCCCTTCAGCCTAGTCATGCCGAAGACTGGCGAGGCCCCCGTGATCATGGCGTCCTGAGCCCACTCGTGGAAGCTGATGGTGCGGCGCTTGGCCGCCTGCCCCTCGAGGTGCTCAGCGTGGGCATCCACGGTGGCCGCGTGCGCGCTAACCAGCGCGGCGAAGTGGCGCCCCGTCTGCATGGCCGCATAGTGGTTCATGCGCCAAGCCGATTCAAATAAGATGATCCCCTCCTTCGTGCGCAGGTCATGCCGATGTCCAGGTCAAAGTGCTCTCGTCAGCCGTGCCCTTCGCATCCGAGAGCCCGCGCCGTGCTCGACCGAATAGACGAGGTCATGCAGCGCGAGTGCCAGGTTGCGCATGTAGCGCGCCTCCGCGCCCGCTTCTGGTCTGCCAGGTTGTGTGTGTGTGTGTGTGTGTGTGCGTGCGTGTGTGTGTGTGTGTGTGTGTGTGTGTGTGTGTGTGTGTGTGTGTGTGTGTGTGTGTGTGTGTGTGTGTGTGTGTGTGTTTGTGTGTGTGTGTGTGGGGGGGGCCCTCCGACAGGGCGTAGGTGGGGCGAGCTGCCCTGCCGCAGTAGCGCCATGTCCTGCAGCTGATCTATGTGGCAGAGATCCTGCTCCATGAAGATCGTGAATGTGGCGTGCATCGCGTCCAGGCGCTGTTGCGACTCCTCTGCGCCCTGTGGGCGTCCGAGTCCAGAGTCAGCCTGCGCCACCTCGATGCGCGGCTACGGTGACGGTGGTCCCGTCGCAGGACTGGCGCCCGCAAATCGAGGCGGCTCCCGCGGGAACGCCATGGGCACCCGAAGATGAAGTTGAAGCTGGACACGGGGACGCGCTGCAATATCCACGCGGACTGGGTAGTGCGGCTTGGCCGTCCACCCGTCTAGGACTCGGGGCTGCTGGCATGCCTTCGCAAAATCAGGCGAGGCAAGCCAGTGGCCGATGGTGCTGACATGGCCGGTGGTAGCTGCTCTGCACGCGCCCGTCGGAAAAAAAAGTCACTGCGATGGCAGGCACCACCTGCGAGAATCCGAGGTCCTCCAAGAGGGCGGGCTCGGCATTCCAGCCGGCCGCGAATATGAACGGGGCCGAGAAGTAGCTCATGGCCTCGGCGATGCGCATCAGCTTCTGGTAGTTCGCGCCGAGGTAGTCGCGGTCCCTGACCGAGTCCATGTACGCGGACCCAACGATGATGCCACCTGGTGGCCCAATATGTACGTGTACTGCCACCGCCAAGGAGCGTAGAATCTCCAAACCGTCAGTGATGCCCCCCGTGTGACTGAATAACGTAGTCTCCACGTGCTTCCGGACGAAGATTCCCACCCCTGCACTCGGTAACTTTGATGCTAAGCGTCTGCGCGGAGTGATGAATGGCTGCCAAACCTTGGCGCATGGCCCAGGTGCGAGCTTGATCCAATCGTTCTCCATCAAGGCGAAGTTCCGGGCATGCGATCACCGCGGCATTCCCTGCACCTTCCATCAAAAACTGCTGGCAAGAACTCCAACAATACCCATTGAAGGTGGCCGCTCCAGTCGCCGTCCGTCTTGCACCTCGCCTTCCACGATGATTAATTGTTCTCTTGCTGCCGCCTCCGCGCTGGCGGGGGAGTAGGCGAAGCCGCGGGCGCCCGCTGCTGATCCTGCTGCGTCTGCTGGGGCGGTAGCTGCGGCGCCCGCAGCTGACTCGGAGGCCTGCTGGCCGCCTGCGGCGCGAAAAGCAGCTCCCTGCTGGGGAACTGCAGCGCCCAACCTGTTGATGTGATCCGCCAAAGCATCCAAGATGGCCCCCCCCACCATGTTACTGTCCTGGCCCGCCGTGATGGAATCCCTGGCGCCCTGCAAGATCTGCTGCAAGGAGGCGACAGCAGTAGGGGCCTCCGCCATGACAGGCACCTGCGCGGGGCCCAGCGCGAGCCTGGCCTGGGAGACCGCCGCGTTGATGTCTGCGAGCTGCTGGTTTGCCGTGGCTAGCTTGTCATTCGTGTCGTCGAGCTTCGCCTTGAGGTCCTCGGCGTTAGACTCCAGGTGCTCCACCTCCTGCTTGCAGTTGATCTGGCGCGCGAGGGCGGAGCGGAGGACGTCTTCTGGTGCCATCTTCGCCCTCTCTTGCTGCTCCGCCTTGGCCAGCTCGTCTCGCGCCATGGCCACAATGGGGTTCTGCTCATCATAGAGTCGTCGTAGCCCAGCGAGTGCCTTCTTGAACTTGGCCACTGCGGTGTCGCCCGGCTTGTCGACCTCCATGCCGTCGGCCGCGCCACTGTGTTCGTCACCAGGAGCAGCGCGAGGAGGGCGAGAGCCTGAGCGAGCCCCGCTGGAGCGCGGGCGGCTGCCGCGGGCGCTCTCGTCCGCGGTGGGCCTGCCCTTGCGGTCGCGCCCGCACGCCCAGCATGTCGACCTGCCGGCGAAGTTGCTGGCGAAACCGCAGGCGCGTGTGGCGACGCAGGGCCAGGTGCCCTCGCGCCACGGGGCTGGCGCGGGCGGTTCGCCAGTGCCGCCGCCGCCCATGGCCTGGAGCTCGCCTGCCTCGCCGTGGTGGCCAGCGAGCGTCCTTCTCGCCGCCTCCAGGCGGAGGAGGCTCCTGGCTCTCGAGCGCATCCGTCTCTCGCGCCTGTGCCAGGCAGGAGACGGGGCACGCTTCGCCGTGATGCTGGAACCACCTGTGCAGCAGCGCCCGCCGTGCGCACGGGCCGCTGGCGGCTGGGGGCGGCCTGGCGCGAGCTCCTAAGCTCGAGCCGAGGCGGCCGCCTGTGAGGAGGGGAGGGGGAAGGGGAGGAGGACGAGGAAGAGGAGGAAGAGGAGCAGGAGGAGGGGGAAACGGAGGAGGAGGAGGAGGAGGGGGAGGAGGAGGAGGAGGAGGAGGAGGAGGAGGAGGAGGAGGAGGAGGAGGAGGAAAAAACGGGAGGAGGGAGGAGGAGGAGGAGGAGGAGGAGGAGGAGGAGGAGGAGGAGGAGGAGGAGGAGGAGGAAGAGGAGGAGGAGGAGGAGGAGAAGGAGGAGGAGGAGGAGGAGGAAGAGGAGGAGGGAGGAGGGAGGGAGGGAGGGAGGGAGGGAGGGAGGGAGGAGGGAGGAGGAGGGAGGAGGAGGAGGAGGAGGAGGAGGAGAAGAAAGAGGACGAGGAGGAGGAGGAAGGAGGAGGAGCAATATCAGGGGGAGGATGATGAGGAGGAGGAGGACGAGGAAAACGGGGAGGAGGAGGAGGACGAGGAGGAGGAAGAGGAGGAGGAGGAGGAGGAGGAGGAGGAGGAGGAAGAGGACGAGGAGGAGGAGGAAGGAAAAGGAGGAATGAGGAGGAGGAAGAACAGGAGGAGGAGGAGGAGGAAGAGGAAGAGGAAGAGGAGGAGGAGGAGGAGGAGGAGGAGGAGGAGGAGGAAAAGGAGGAGGAAGACAGCACACGAGGTGGCCTTTGCGGCGCGCCGGTGCCTGGCGTGGAGAGCGCGGTTCCTACGCGCAGCGCACGGGGAAGCGAGGAACGCCCTCGCCGAGGTGCAACCGCTGGGGCGCATCCCGAGGCTGGGATGAAAGCCATAGGGCCGAGGAGAACGCCCGAGAACCCTCGAACCTCGATCTGGCGAAAGGACTTGGAGGGAGAGGAAGCAAGGGCCATGACCAAGACTGAAGGCGGAACGTCGGAGCCGGCCTTGGTCGCCATCCATCCAAGTCAGCATCCATCCGAAGACCGTCCCCGCGCTGCTGCGACGGCTGGCCCGCACGGACCTTCCGCGACAGCTTGCCTCGAGGCGTGCAGGGCAGTACGAATCCGAAGGAGGCGGGCCCCGAAAGCAAGGGGCCCAGATGTGCCGCTCGCTGTCGTCGGCCCCCCGCGGCCCTTCCAGAGGGCCCTGGGGGCCGTCACCGGAGCGGCTCGGGCCGACGAGCCCGTCCCGGGGAGGGCCCAAGGGGTCCGAGGCCCGTGCCCACCGTGGCGGGCGAGGAGCACGGCGCCCCGCGTGCCGCATCATCCGCGCGTGGCGTGCTGCGCAGTGCGGCGTGCTGCTTTGGGGTGCACTCGAGGGGGGCGGAGGGCTGGCGTGAGCCTGGAGATGCTGCCATCGAACCGTGATGCATCCAATGAGTGCGTCTGTGGGTCCGTCTGGCACGGGTCAGTTCGGGCTCTTGGAGTCCTGCATCAGATCCTCGAGCTCCTTCTGAACATACCCACGCTGGGTAGATACAGTGGCACTCTCATCGCTGGCCTCCACAACCTTCTTGAAGGGTAAGCTCTCCCAAAGCAAATCGTATTCGAACGACATTCGAGCTGTGTAGCAGTACGCCATGCTGGAGACCGAAATCCAGAAAGGGTACCACGTTGCTGCCTGCATGTAGCAGATGCCAGACATCATGACAACATATATCAACATGCTGTTCTGCATATGCTTGAGTGCCTGGCACCAGAAGACGCCTCCTAAATCAACCTTCTTGGTCTCTGCAAAAGCCATCAAGTATCCATAGGTGAACCGGCTGATGAAGAAAAACAAGCATGTCAATGGTAAAATGAGTGGAATGACTGTGCTAAATATTAGCCCAGTTGCTAGTATCAGAGTAACACGAGCAGTGCGCCCCCCCATGCCATTGTAGTCCTGGTCCTCTGGCTCAGACAGCTCCTTGGCACGCTCCTGTTCGCACACAAGGCTGGCCGATTTGAACTTCAACAAAGGAACAAGCCGTAACAATTGAAACACTGTAGTCGTGCACTGCAACACTGTGTAGACCATGTCCGCCGGCCCCATCTTGCTGCACGTGACAGGGCTAATGAGATGCCTGGCGCTTTCCCTCCCCCTGATCCCCCCCTGGGGGTCCTCATTTCTGTTTGATGGTTGGGTGGGTGACAAACAAAATCGCCTATGCACCTCCTGGGCTTCAACAAGCCCCAAATCCCACCAACCAGGTGGGCGTGAACGGTTTTCGCGGGTGACCGTCATTGGTAGCTATTACAGACCCGTTATTCCCGTTCGGGAGGGGGTCCCCTCCCCCGCCTCCCCCCTCCCCTGGGGTTAGAACCCAAGTTCCGCGGGTAGTTCGAGCGTCCAAGGTGGCCTACGATGGCTGCAAGATGCCCCCAGGCAGCTCAACATGGCACAAGACAATCCAAGATAGCCATCTGCTGCATACCTCACAAAGACCAAAGCACTGCCCATCACGGCTCCGCATGGTCATGTAACCTCTCAAAGATGGCCCTGAGAGGGCAAACAGTATTGCCTCACGTGGCCTCCAATAGGGCCGACAACGGGCCGAGGGCGTGCTAAGATCTCTGGCAACTGGTTGACAATATTTCTAGTTCGCGCGCGCGGGGCCGCTCCTGGGGGTCCCCGGACGAAAGAAACCCTGGCGAGGTCCCGGGCACATTCCGGCAAGGTCCCGGGCAAGTCCCGGGCAGGTCCCGGCCATGTCCCAGCAGGCTCCCAAGACCGCTCCAGGAACGCTTCAAGTGGCCTCTAAGAGAGCTCAGCATGATTCGCGACGGTCCAAGAGCGATCCAAGACGCCAAAGATGACCTCCAGACAGCCCAAAGCGCCTTCAAGACGCCCCAAGAGGCCTCCAAGAGACCTCCCAAGAGGGCCCACAGAGGCATAAATTAGTGATGTTCGTAGAATTTTTGAAGGTTTTTGGCGTCCTCGCCTTTTCGGCTTACCAGCGCTCAAGCACGGCCTAAGAGGCTTCCAAGACTGCTCCAAGACGGCCCATGAAGTCTCCAAGAGGGCCCCAAGACGGCCCAAGATTGCCCCAAGACGCGCCCAAGACGGCCCAAGAGGGCTCCAAAAGGGCCAAAGAGGGGCCCAAGAAGGGGACCAGGAGCCGAAAAGTCCAGCTTTCAGCCCCAAGAGGCCCCAAGAGGCCCCCAAGAGGCCCCAAGGGGCCCCCAAAAGGCACCACCCCAAGAACCCCAAGAGGCCCCAACACGGCCCCCCAAGAGGCCAACCACGAGAGCCCAACCAACATCACCAACATCCATGAAGCCTCTGACCCACCACCCATTGCCTCCGAGAAATGGCAGCCGCCCAACCACACCCCGACAAACGACAACGGCGAGGCAATATGGGCCGGCGGGATGAGCGAAGGCCCAATGCAACCAATCTTGACTCAAAGATGGCCCTAAGAAGTCCTCTTCGGAGTCTCTTGGATTGTCTCGGGGTCCAAGAAAGGCTAACATTATTGAACATCCATTTGTTTTCACTTGTTTCCCGACTTGCGCCTGTTTGGTCTCACGCGCTGCCAAAAGTGCCAAAGCGTCTCCAAACACCAAGTCACACAAACCGCAAGAAGACCCCTAAGACTGCCCAATATAGCGCCGACGGATCAGTGCTGCGACGACGGGCATCTGACGGCTTCTGCATCGGATCGCGGCTGCGGAGACGAGAACCGCGTGGTTTCCTCAGTTGGCCACGGCTTCGAATGTGAGATTCCTGACTTTCGCAGATGGATCGCTGCTGCGAAGATGAGAACCCCATGGTGTCGCAGTTGTATATATACATTTATGTTTAACATATATATGTTTAATTAAAAATAAGGATCGAGAGAAGACTCTGGCAGAGGAGGAGGAGGGGATGACACTTCTGAATCGGCCCTGGGTGCGGGAGCTGAAACATACCACAAATTAGGATTCGAACTGCTTCCCAGAGTCAACGCAACTCAATGAAGTGAAGGCCAGGAAGCCCTCCGGGAAGGCCACAAACACTAAGTACACTGCTTCTTCTATGCCTGGAGCATTATTTTACGCTTTGGGGGGCTCTCGGCTCAATGTGGTCCGTGGTTCTCGGAGAGCCTGGGAGCATCCCGAGAGAAGCCACATGAGCTGAATGAGATCCCCCTCAAAATCCCGCAGACGGCCCAGGACAGCTCCTGGAGGGCCTCAACACGGCCCAACATAACATCAAGTACATCGAGTACCGGGAGAGGAGGAGGAGGAGGAAGAGGAGGAGGAGGAAGAGCAGGAGGAGGAAGAGGAGGAGGAGGAGGAGGGCCCCGAGATGGCCCAGGAGGTCCCAGAAAGCCTCCCGAGACGGCAAAGAGAGACTCCCCAAACTGCCGAGAGAGGCCCACGACGGCACCGAGACGGCTTCGCAGAACCCCAGGACGATCCAAGGAGGCCTCACAGGAACCCGAGATAGCCCTTGAGAGCCCCGCAACGAATGGAAATCAGAGATGCCACTTGTTACGGCCTTCGGTGCTCGAAGCGTCGCCGCACAGACTGCTACGCCGGCATGCTAGCAGGACTTGCCACAGACAGCTGGTTGCGGCACGAAAAAAGCTTCGCGGATTGCTGCCACACCGTACCCAGCGCGGTTCTGGTCGGTGGCTAACTTGCGCTCGCTTGGGTTATCCTGGGCCCCTGTGATTTTTCGGAGCTCCCCAAGATTGCGCCAGGACGGCTCACGAGGGCCTGAAGATTTTCTCATGGGTGCAATGCAGGGATGAGGAGAAATGCCAGCCCTTCCACCGAGGGAACGGCGACTCCACCATGCGAGCAGTCAGCCCTGGAGAAGAGAAGAAGGGGAGGAGGAAGAGGAAGAAGAGGAAGAACAACGGACTGCCACAGGGAACAACTCGCGATTGGACCACCCGCGCGCACCCTTCAGCGCACGACCGCGGCATGCTGGACACTCCTCGGAACCACGCCGAGGCCCTGGCCAAGACGCCTCTTCACGGCGGCGCGAACTCGAGACACCGGCACCCCGAGGAGGCCGGGCCCGAGAGGGGCGAGGGGCAACAAGAGCGGAGAGGAAAAGGCAGAAATGCGACACCGTCACAGAGATCGGCATTCCGAGCGGTGGTATACAGTTAATCGATACAGTAAGGATGCGCGATAAGGATGCAAGGGCCTTGGACGCCCATTTCGAAGCTTCTCGAGCGGGGCGCGGCCAACGGAGGTGGCCGAGGATGGACCGAGGAGGCAAGGATGCAAGGGTACCCTTGGGAAGGTTGCCCATCCTTACTATGCGGGTTGACTGTCGACAAAAACCAAGTCTACGATAGCAAGAGGGCCTGAGGATGGGCCACTCAGGACTGAGAGTGCCCCGAAAGGCGTCGAAGGAGCCGCCGTTGGACCACAGAGATGGCCAAGACGAGCCAACGACAACCGATGATGACTCCAACGCGTCCACACAGGCCCCCAGCACGGCCCAGAGAGTTCAAGAGGGTGGCAACATCCCTTCGGCTATTCTGAGTGGCCTTGGCATAGTTGCATGTTCTTCGGTCTTCAAAGCCTGCAGTGCGGCCCAAGAAGTGCCCCAGGACGGCCAAGTAAGTGCCCGAGAGGGTCCACAGAGGGCTGGCTCCTCCAACTGGGGCCGCCAAAACACCCACCAAACGCCGCCGGACGGCCGCAGGGCAGGAGGCAGCGACGCTCCAACGAAGAAACGCCAATACTGGTTCCTGGACAAGTTCGTTCGTGTGACAGACGGCGAGAAACCAGACCCCCTCGGGCAATGAAAAAACATGACGGGCAGTTTTTCGCTACTTTCGGCCTCTGGAGTCCCTTGCCAGCCCTCGGGATCGTGACAAGAGCGACTCAGGATGAAGAACTTGTCACCGGAAATGGGTCGAGACCTCTGGGGGTCGACATTGTGAACAAATCATGACGTCGGGGGTCTGGGAATGGGGGCCCAGAGACACCTGTCAGAGTCCGAAGACGCCCATGACGAGACAGAGTCGGCCCAATATGGTACTTAATGCAGAGCCGTTCGAAGAGAGCTCAACCACAGCCTGAAGTGTTGGGCGGCACACTTTCGAAGTGAGATCATTGGAGAGTTGCCAAGATCGTTGGTGCGCTTCCTCATCTCTTGCTAAATAACCCTTCTGCTGATCGCCCGCCTCCCTGGCATTTCCCGTGTCCTCCGACGATTCGTGACAACACGCTAACTATGCAGCGAAATTCGCATGGACAGTCGAAGGGATGCTCGAAATGCAGATACCCTGACATGCTCCGTGATGCATCGGCCTGACCTAAGGAAAGATAAAGAAGGAACGGAACCTTTTTTCCCAAAGAATAACGCATAAGAAACGATAACTAAGAAATAACGCATAAGGAACGATACATAATGCATGCGAACCTGAGGAACGACCGAGCCCCTTTTCAAAAGTAAGTGCTCCTTATTCAAGCCGCGCAGTGTACGCGTCAAGAATACACGTCGTTCATTTCCAATCGTGCTCATTTCAAATTGTGCTCGTTTCTAATTGTTCCCGACCCCCAAGTGGCCAGGGAGAGGCCCAGGATAGAACATTTAGAAATGACAGGATCTTGGCCCCCCCAAGAATCGAATAACTTTCGAATACCTAGAAATGAACCATGTGTACGCGTCAAGAATAGATCTGCGAATCCGACCCGCGCTTGGCATCACCCAACGCAACTGCCGATCATCTCCGCATGTGCGGCCTCGGAGAGCACCCGAGGCGCAGCCCACCCCTGAGCTCACACCGCCGTGAGGGGCGAGCGCCCGAAAACCATGGGAGGACTCTGCCCCTCCTCCTTCGGGTGGGCTCGGGTGCGAAAAGAGAAGCAGAGGAGGGAGGAGGAGGAAGAGGAGGAGGAGGGAGGGGGAGGATGAGGAGGATGAGGAGGAGGAGGAGGAGGAGGAGGAGGAGGAGGAGGAGAAGCAGGAGGAGGAGGAGGAAACCAGCACGTGGAGACGAGCCCACCCGAAAGCCGACGTCACAACGCGACGCTCTGACCGCATCGGTCCGTGGCAGGGTGCGGGCGTCCCCCGCGGAAGGCTCCGCGACGAGCCCTGGACGGGCCCCGCCCCGGGCCTGGCGCTGCTCCGGCGCTGGGATGCTCGCGCCCGGGCCGCCCTCGGTCCGCCGCGGGCGTCGTGTGGCCCTCCGTGGGCAGTCCTGGTGCAGCTCCGGCGGATACTGGGGGCATCTTTGGCCTCCTGCGGGGCCGCCTCGGACCTCTTGCGGCCTGTCTGCAGCCCGTCGAGGGGCCATCTGCAGCCGCTCCGGCGAAAACTAGGGAAGGAGGGCGGCGGCCGCAAAGCGTCTTGAATAGAAATTGGACGTTCCTGGTAAAGCTTCGGCCACAGTCTGGAAGATTGTGATTGGTTCCTGCACAATTGCCTTCAGGCTCGCCCACAACGAGCTTCCTATCGCTGTGACGAGGACGACGAACAAGACGAGGAAATTGAAGTACCAGTTCTGCAAGTACGCCTGGCTCCAAGCCTTACCCTTCAGGGAGAAGAACTGAAAGAATCCGCTGGCCCCCACTCGCTGGAGGTGCAAGGGCGTGTGAGATGTCTTGCTTCCCCCCTCCCCCTGGTTCCCCCTCCCTGGGGCTTCCCGAGTCCCGTTAGGCGGAGGGGAGATGCACCCCCAGAGCCCTCAGAGCCTCCCGATCCATCCTCGGACGCCTCTGGGATGCCCAAGATATTCTCCAAGATGGCTCCAGCATGGGCCCCAACACGCCCACGAGGCCTGCAGAAGAACGCAAGAGACTCTCAGGGATCCCAAGCAGCCCGCAGAGGTTTCCATGAGGGAGCCAAGCACCCGATCTCATCACACGCATCTTTTCAAAGATTTCGATATCTGGCCCTGCCGCTTCCAGAAGGGGCCCAAGATATCCCAAATGCCCTCAGCAAGGCCTCAAACGGCCACAGACGCTCCCCGCTTGCCTCCAGGGCGGCCTCACGAGGCCCCAAAGAAGGCCTAAAGAGAGCCGAAGAGGGCCCACCGAAGACCCTACGCGGCCATGCGAGAGCTACACGAGAGCGGCGAATGTTCAGTCACACACAGACGCAGACACAGACACACACAGACAGACACACAAAGACAGACACACAGACACACACACAGGCACAGACACACAGAGACACACAAAGACACACACAGACACACAGACACACAGACAAACACACACACACAGACACAGGCACAGGCACAGACACACAAACACAACCACAAACACAAACACAAGCACAAGCACAAGCACAAACACAAGCACCAGCACAAAAACAAGCACAAGCACACGCACAAGCACAGGCGCAAGCTCAAGCACAAAAACAAGCACAACCACACAAACACACAAACACAAACACACACACAAACACAAACACAAACACAAACACAAACACAAGGACAAACGCAACAAGCACAAACACACACAAACACACACAAAGACACACAAACACACACGAACACACACACAAACACACACACAAACACACACACGCACACACACACACACACGAACACACACACACACCACACCCCACACACCACACGCAGCACACAACATACACACAACGCACACACACAACACACACAACACACACAACACACACAACACACAACACACAACACACACAAACACACACACACACATGTATTTGGGGTATACCACCCCAACAAATCTCATTGATTCGGTTGCATGCTAATTCCCATGGGGGGGGCCGCCGTGACTGCCGCTTGCCAGGCTCACCAATTCCTCTTCGCCGGTGCTGATATAACCAAGCTGGAATTTCAGCATTTGCAAGTCGAGGTTCATGCCTAGGTGGCGACGTCTGGGCTCTACCCCCACCAACCATCGATTCTCCTGAATCGAAAGGGCCGGGGGTATGGTTCGGATTTCGCCACCTGTTCGACGATTTCGAACCCTACCCTTAGGTTGGGCATGTCCCCCTACAGGGGGATTTTGGACGAAAAGTCAAAAGTAGCCACAACATACTCCAAACGTATTCGAAAATCATGAAAAAATCGTCCCCGGACTACTGTTTCCCTATCTTTGAATATTCCTCCTGCAGAGGGACAGGCCCGACTTAACCCTGCCCCCGCTGCCCATCGAGTTGCCTGAATCGTTGCTCGGCGAGGGTAGGTTTTGGACTTCGCCGCCGCATGCCTTCCTTCACCGCCCCTCACTCTGATTCCTGATTCGCATGCGCTCCCACTTTGCCACCTAGCCGGCCGCTAGGCGCCCCATCCGGGGCGTGTCATCGCACCTCTTGGGAAACATCACATCGTAGACTTTTTGCCACCCGCCTCGAAAAACTGCGAAGCAGGACTGGGCGGTGCGCACATCCCGCGCGAGAAAGCGAGATGCCGCTCTCGCCTCGAGGAGGAGGAGGAGGAGGAGGAGGAGGAGGAGGAGGAGCGCCGCGCTCACTTGTCAGGAGAGTTGAGCTCCCACTGGGGCGCGGCGCACATTCTTCGCACTCCAGCTCGTCGACGCGCGAGAAGAGGAACATGTTGCTCTCGCCTCGGCGCCGCGCAGATTTCGCCTGAAAATGGTGAGCGTTTTGTATTCGGCGTTTCGACACTGGGTGGAAGGGGGGAGGATGGGGTGGGGGTCTGGCTCCGGACCTCTGCTTAGTGCGACCGTTTGCAGCAGGGCGTCCAGTATGGGGGAGGCTCCACCTGCTCGCCAAAAACAGCTAAGATCTACTCCAGGGGGGGGGGGGGGCCGAGGGGGGGTGCGCGAGGGCCCGCGCCGATCGGCAAAACAACGAATAACAAAAACGACCACCTGAAACTGGCGCTCTGGCTTGGGTGCCTCGCGCATGTCTCACCCGCCAAGTGCTGGGACTCCGCGCGAGCGGGCGACTCGGCGTCCCCGCCGCAGCTCCGTGCGCGTTTCTCTTGGACGTGGCGCTCCCGCGCGGGCGCGGCGCGTGCTTCGTTCGCCGAGTCGCGTGCCATCGGCAACGGCAGCAGGGCCGCGCGAGAGCAGGCGAAACGCCGTCCTCGTCCAAGAGCCGCGCGGTCCGTGGGAGCACGGCAGCCACGCAGCGGTGCGGGGGGATATGCTTCGTCTTCGCCGTGCTCCTCGGAAGGGTTGCCGCTCTTGCCCGTGTGTGGACTGGGCGGTGTTGCTTTCGCCGAGACGTCGAACGCGGGGCCGCGCGAGAGCGCCGCCCGTTCGCTAGGTGGGGACGAACTCGAGTCCCAAGGCCAAGTTGTGTCACAACCGATTCTCCTGTTAATGGGAGCGAAGGTGGGAGTGCGCGGGGCCCGCTGACTTGTTCGACCTGGCTAACTTGACCAGCACAACTTGCTCCTACTGCGGCGGTTCTCCTCCTCCTCCTCCTCCTCCTCCTCATCATCATCATCATCGCCAGGCCTGCGTTTCCGGGGCCAGCGGAATGGCGCAAGCCTCTTAAATATCATCTGGAACAGGCTCGGTAAGAAGCTCATGGTGATCGTCAGTGCCAGCGAAGCAAGGACGCCCTCCACGACCGACACCAAAATAGGCATTTGCTCCAGCAGCCAGTTGATGAAACCGATGGATTCCAGAGTCTTCAAATTTGTGATTGATGCCAAGGCGGTGACCACTGGCAAAAATGCGAAGAATATCCGCTGGCCCTCTCCCGCTAGGGCGCAATGACAGCACTGCCTGGGCGATTCTTTGATACTTCAGGTCGAATCTGAATCTCGGCAAGCGGAAGCACAACGCCCGTCATGCGACCAAAACCGACTCGATTGCAAAGCTTCCTCGCCTCGCGAATATGAAGTGATTGTCCATCATCCCTTCCCCTCTCATCTCCCTCCGTCCCCTCTTCCCCCTTCCCCCTTCCTCCCTCCCCACCTCTGGTTTGCCCCGTCGCCTGCGGCTCCACGCCCCGCAAGCGCCTAGCCACACCAGTACATCCCACCCTCTTGCTCATCCTCGTCGGCGTCCTCCTTCTCCTCATCTACTCCTCATCTACCGTCCTCTTGCTGGACTCGCGTTCTCGTTTCCCTTCTGCACTGTCCATGGCATGATGAAGGTATCGCTGGGTTGCTGTTCCTTCCGAGCACCGCCAACATCTAGCGGGGGCTGACGGGACAGCTGGAGCCACTGAATCAACCCAATGCATCCGTATCCAATGGTAGTCAATACTCTCTGCTGCTGGGAATCAAGCAAAAGATCGGTGTAGCGGACGTCGTCAGGATCTGGAGCGTACGACATCTGGAACCGCTGCCCTTCGAGAGGTGTCAGAAGATAACCAACATGTGTGCATGCCAGTATGGGGGGGGTGCGCATGACGCACGTGTGCCGCGCAAGTGTCCGCCACGAGAGGAGGAATGTCAGCGTGAAAAAGATGCCGTATCATAAAACATGTCACGATGAAACACCATACGTATTGCACATGCGCGGTGACCTCCCAAACCCCGACGTCGTGATTGTTTCACAACGTCGACCCCCAGAGGTCTGGACCCCTTTCCCGGGACCCGGCTTTTCATCCCGAGTCGGTTTTTGACGGTCCCGAGGCCCGGCAACGGCCCCTGGAGGCCGAAAATCGTGTCGAGTCGGGCGTGTCGCCCTACAGGGGGATTTTCGACGAAAGATGAAACATACTCCAAAAATGCTCCAACATGATCAACATTCTTTTTTAAATGGTCCCCATAATATTTTCTTACTATTTTTGAATATTCCCCCTGTAGAGGGGCAAGCCCGACTTCGAAATAGTGAAAAACCTCCCGTCGGGATTCTTCCATTGCCCGAGGTGTCGGGTGTCCCCGGCCCGTGGGCCCCTCGCCGCGGAGCCTCCCCGAGGGACCCCTCGCGTCCCCCGTGGGGAGAAGACTGCACCCTGCTGCCTGTGTGCTCAGACGTGCTCGCATCCCCCGTGGGGAGAATGCTGCACCCTGCTGCCTGTGCCCCCAGACGTGCTCGCGTCGTACAAAAATCAGGACGGACAAGTTTCTGGCCGTTTTTCGGCCTCGGAGGGCCCTCGACGGGCCTCGGGATCGTCAAAAACCGACTCGGGATGAAAAACCAGTCCCGGGGAAAGGGTCGGGACTTACAGGGACTCCGCATTGAAAAAAACGGGACGTCGCATGTCTGGGTCGTGGCCCCTCCAGTCCCCCTGGGGTGGGTGCCGCACCCTGCCTGTAGTTGTCCGCAGCCTGTGGCCCCTTGTGATCCCCTCGTGCGCCCCTGGATCTACTGCTCAACTCGCCTCTGCTTGTCCGCGGCCAGTGGCCCCCCTCATAGCTGCGGGGTGAACCAACGGGGCGGATGCTTTACCTTCAGGTCGGGCATGTCCCCCTGCAGGCGGATTTTGGACGAACAATGAGTCATAGTCAAAAAACACTCCAAACATGCGCAAACATGCTCAAGAAATGGTCCCCAGATTTTTCTTTACTATTGTTGAGCATTCCTCCTGTAGAGGGACAGGCCCGACCTAATCATAGCCGCGGGGTGAACCAACGGGGCGGATGTTGTACCTGGTCTTTGATTGATCGTGGTCCGTGGCCCCTGGGCCATCTGGGGCCGCCCTCGTGCCTCCCCAGGGTGTCATCCGCGCCTTGCCTTTGGTTGGTCGTGGCCTGGTGGCCCCTTCGTGACCCCAGTGTCCCCCACGCACATGGTAATCTTAAGTCGGGCCTGTCCTCCTACAGGGGGGTGTTGTACGACAAATAAAAAATAGTCAAAACATACCCCAACTTGGCAAAACATAATCAACAAATCCTTCCCGGAATATTTCTGAATATTTTAAAATGTTTCTCCTGTGGAGGGACACGCCCAACTTAAGGGCCATCTTTGACACGAACTAGTCAAACTTATCTTTCTCATGGGTCCCCCAAATCCAGATGCCGCTCAGGGCGTCTCTGCATGGTGTATCAACGTGCTGTGCACTCGGTCAAACGGATTTGGCATCGAATCCTTCGTGCTCCAGCTGCAACTGCCGCGCAATCTCGGCATCCCTGCGTGTTTTGAACGTCACGAAGCCCTCACTGGCAAATAACGACTGGTCGCCACCGTCCATGGACTTCTGCACCCTGTCCCGCTCCGTTTGCAGTCTGGCGTCGGCCTCGACCTTCGCATGTGTGTAGAAATCAATTTTATCTGTCCACCTGTTGCTCAACGGCTCAAGCATCCTTGGTCGATTATCGGGACGCCGGCCACTTTTATCCCACTCATGAACCGCCTGGTGGAGGCACTGGTCTGCAGACTTCAACTCTTCCGCCCGGCTCACGAGTTCCCCGATCTTCTTGGCCACGTACACGCGCTGCACGGCCCCCGGGAAGAGCTTTTCGTAGTACTCCTTGAGCCCAGTGTCGGAACAATACTGGCGTGGGATGTCTGTGACTAGTAACGTTGTTGCGCGTGGCTCTGGCATCGCTTTAAGCCAAGCAATGCGTCTGGGAATGAACTTCTCCTGTGCCGTCCAGATCATACGATGCACTACGACGACTACAACCCACACCAATAATGCCACGAACCCGTAGAGGCTGCTGTCCCGCTCGATGTTGTTCATGCTGTATCGTGTGAGCGTGTCTTCGCTATCCAAGCCTCCATAGTAGCAGTACACAGGGCACATGACTACGCAAATCGGTAATCCGAGTGCAGCAGTTAAGTACATGCCGAAATTGCAAAGTTCGACGAACATCGCAACGTCAAGGCCCGCAACGTCTGTTGCCTGCTCCATTGTGACACTGAAGCTTGCCCAGAACCATCCGCCAAGCGAATCTTGTGGTTGAGGAAGCGCCTGCGGAGAACATTAGAGCCCCTCCCACCCCCGACACGTGCACTCCAATGAAAAACCACCAATGTTTGCCAGACCTCATGTCCAACTATGGCGCCTTCGCGCCGACACAAGCAATTCCGTAGCACTTCGGTACCTCGACGGGTGGCCATGTCTCGATTGCAACAGAAAACAATGACATCGGTTCAAGGAGCGCAGCGAACGAAAACGCCATCGATTGGCTCTGAGGTCTTCCTGAGCAGCGTCGATTTAGTGAGGCGCGAATCACTTTTGTTAGTGCAAATGTTCTTCGCGCCGCCGCTAGATTTGTGCTTTGCACTGCTTTCCTTCGGTTGGCTTTGGTGCGTGTGATTGCATTGCGTTGTTTTCTTCCTTGATGCTGCTCATTTGTTTCAAACGTCCTGTGTGAGAGTTGGGTCCTCCTTTTGAATCAGCAGCGCCGCACCCCACCTCCTTCTCGCATCCGAGAACAGATCCACGCCCACCCCGAATGCCGCTCTGCGCCGTTTCCTACAACAGGTCGGGGGCCTACAGAAGAAACCTCAGGTCGGGCATGTCCCTCATACAGGCGGCTTCTGGACGCAAAATCTAAAACATACCCTACACATACTCAACATTGGTCGAACAAATACAAACATAATCGTCCCCTGACTATTTTTTACTGTGTTTGAATTTGAATATTCCTCCTGTAGAGGGACAGGCCCGACTTAATCATAGCCGCGGGGTGAACCAACGGGGCGGATGCTTTTCCTGGCCTTTGATTGATCGCGGTCCGTGGTCCCTGGGCCACCTGTGGCCACCTGTGGCCGCCCTCGTGCCTCCCCAGGGTGACATCCGCGCCTTGCCTTTGGTTGGTCGTGGCCTGATGGCCCCTTCGTGACCACAATGTCCCCCGCGCACAGGGTAATCTTTGACACGGGTTTAGTCCAATTTATCTTTCTCATGAGTCCCCTCCAATCCAGATGCCGCTCAGAGCGTCTCTGCATGGTGTATCAGCGTACTGCGCACTCTGTCAAACGAGGGACAAGCCCGACTTAAAAAAAGCCCCTTCAGCCAAGCACCCTCTGGTAACAAGACCGGCCCCCGACCGGCCCCGGCGGGCGCAAAACCGCACAGGCTGCGGCCGCCACGCCCTCAAAGGGCAATTCGCCAATCGACCTGGCAGTGGAGGAGGAGGGGGGGAGGGGGAGGAGGAGGGGGGATGGGGAGGGAGGAGGAGGAGGAGGAGGAGGAGGAGGAGGAGGAGGAGGAGGAGGAGAAGGAGGATGAGGAGGAGGAGGGGGAGGACGAGGAGGAGGACGAGGAGGAGGAGGAGGAGGAGGAGAGGAGGAGGAGGAGGAGGAGGGCGAGGAGGAGGACGAGGAGGAGGAGGAGGAGGGAGGAGGAGGCGGAGGAGGAGGAGGAGGAGGAGGAGGAAGGGGAGGAGGGGGGGGAGGAGGAGGGGGAGGGGGAGGAAAAGGAGGAGGAGGAGGAGGAACTTGGAGAAGACAAAACACGCCCAAAAAGGGCAATTCGCTAATCGACTTGGGAGTGGAGAAGGAGAAGCAGGAGGAGGAGGGGGGAGGAGCGGGAGGAGGGGGAGGAGGAGGAGGAGGAGGGGGAGGGGGAGGAGGACAAGCTAGGTGCGCTCGCGTCATATCTGACATCCTACCCCTCCCTCCCATCCTTTACCATGGCGTAGATCCCCTCTCTACTCGCACAGTCGGATGTCGAGCAGGGCAATGATCCCGAAAGGGTACGCGATGCATTGTAGAGCACGGCATGGCATGGCGTAGAAGAGCACCGCAAAGCGTAGTATCAACCAGGCATTGCATTGCATGCCGTGGCATGGCACGGGAAATGACGCCAGCGCTGCAGCGGGAGCACGAGTCGGAACGAGCGGAAGCGCGAAAATGAGGCCAGCGCTGCAGCGGGAGCACGATTCGGAACGAGTGGAAGCACGGTAATGAGGTCAGCACTGCAGCGGGAGCACGATTCGGAACGAGCGGGGCCCGAAAATGAGGCCGGCGCCTCAGCGAGAGCAGCATTTTGGAAAAAATGCAAGCGAAAGCCCAACTCTGGGGAATCCTGTGTGTGAGAAACCGTATGCGGGGGGGGGGCTGGTATTTTCAAACCGTCATCAGGGGAAGAGGGAGAGTAGTATTCATATGGAGCAATTGTGGAGGAGGGGAACCCTGTGTGTAAGAAACCGTATGCGGGGGGGGGGGGCTTATATTTTCAAACCGTCCTCAGGGGAAGAGGGAGAGTAGTATCCATATGGAGCAATCGTGGAGGAGGAGGAGGAGGAGGAGGAGGAGGAGGAGGAGGAGGAGGAAGTTGGTTAGCGTGTGCGGGAGGAGGAGGAGGGGAGGAGAGGAGGAGGAGGAGGAGGGGGAGGAGGAGGAGGAGGAGGAGGAGGAGAGGAGGAGGAGGAGGAGGAGGAGGAGGAGGAGGAGGATCACCGCGTCTCGGCGTGACATGCTAGCCGCGCCCTGGTCTCCGAGAGCGCCCGCGCCCCGAGCTCCTCCCGGCCTCCCGGCCCGCGGAGGAAGCGAGGCACGCCATCCGCTCACAGGGCAGAGCGTGCCGCCGCCGAGGAGGAGGAGGAGGAGGAGGAGGAGGAGGAGGAGGAGGAGGAGGAGGAGGCCGCGGCACGCGGCACGCCGAACACGAGCTCCTGACAGTGTCAACCTCCGAAGAGAGCGCGACGGGTGCACCACGGCGCGGCAGCCCGGCAGCCGGCGCTCGGAGGAGAGACAGGACGCCCTGGGCAGAACTCCTCGGAGCTCCGTGCGGAGCTGCCGGATCGGCGCTGGAGCCCCCTCCCCGGCGCGCGGAGCGCGCAGGGGGGGGGGGGGGGCTCCAGAACCGCCGCCGGGAGGGCCCGAGCGCCGACCCCCAAAACTCGCGCGGAGCTCCGCAAGTTTACAGTTCGGCCCCTGTCACCTTCTCCGAGCATCAGCCGACGCGGCAAGGCAGGCACCGCCGAGCACGAGGTCGGGCGCGTCCCCCTACCAGCAGATCTTGGACGAGAGGTAAGACATACGTCAACATATGATCCCAAATCGCAGAAAAAGATACTCAACAAAAGCATCCCCAGACTATTTGTCTTTTGACTACTTTGGAAGATTCGTCCTGTAGAGGGACAGGCCCGCCTTGAGGCAAGGCAGACGCCGCCGAGCAGCGGCGCGCGCCGACCGGCCCGGGGGGGCAGCCGCGGCCTGGACCTCGGCACTCCTGTGCGAGTACACGAGCGGGTACGCTCTCCATAGGCAGCAGACGGCGAGCAGGATCGCGGCCGTGACGAGCACGTTGAACAGGAGGGCGACCCCGAGCCTTAGCTGTAAGTCGGGCCCGTCCTCCAACACGGGCATTTTCGACGAAGAATAAAACATACCCCACAAAATAATCCAAAATGTTTGAAAAATGCTCAAAACATAGTCCCCAGACTATTTTCTGACAATTTTTGAATTTTCCCCCTGTAGAGGGACAGGCCCGACTTGACCTTAGCCGCCACGATACGCAACACGCAACACATGGCGTACTGCTACGGAGCTCAACACGTAGGCTGAAAACGCAGGTCCGACGCGACACATTCGCCAGAACGTGGCCCAATACGGGGAGCCAACGCGCAGCGCGTCGACACGGACGTCTGGAGCCCACGGTGCGTGCTGCGTCTCCAAGCGGGCGTACCGAGGCAGCCGAGCTCCCGGCTTGATGGTGTCGTCCGAGGAGTTCGTCGTCACGCCGAGCTGGTCCTGCTCCACCTCGGCCCGCTCCGGGGACCCTCGACTCCAGCAGAGCTGGCGCCTCCACCCTGCTCACCTCCCTCCGCCGTCGGCTGGCGCACCCTCCGGCGCCTCACTCCCGCCGGCCAACCGCCGAGGGCGGGCATGCGCCGAAGGCGAGGGAGGGGGCGAGCAGGAGGACCGGAGGACGACCAGCAGGAGGGAAGGGGTGGAGTGAAGGAGGGGAGGAGGAGGGGGGGAGGAAAGGAGGGCCACCAGGCCAGGCCCTGAATAGAAAGGAAAGTTCTTGGCCGTGTAGAGCACGGCGGGACGCCAAGCTTCCAGAGAGCAAGCTTGAAGCTTCAGCCTTCAGCTTGAGCTTGAAGCTTCAGATCTGGTTTGGCTGCTCTGGTTGGACTGGTTTGAGCTTCGTCCTGAAGCCTTAGCTTAGGATTCGGGCGAGAATTGTTTAGGGGAGGTCCAGGGAGCCAGCGCCAACCACTACGACCACCGACAAACAGTTGTTTCATTGTTTTTTGCTTTGCAATTTTTTTTTGCATTGCAGTTTTTTGTGCATTGCAGTTTGTTTTGCATCTGGTCTGGCTGGTCTGGTTGGTCTAGTTTGAGCTTAATCCTTAAGCCTTAGCTTAGGACTCGAGCGAGAGTGGTTCAGGGAGGTCCAGAGAGGCAGCGCCAACCACTACGACCACCGAACAACAGTTTGTTTTCCTTGCAGCTTGTTTTGAATATGGTCTGAGCTTAGTGCTGAAGCCTTGGCTTAGGATATTTGTTTTGCATTGCAGTTTGTTTTGCTTTGCAGTTTGTATGCGTTGCAGTTTTGTTGCATCTGGTCTGGCTGGCCTGGCTGGCCTGGTTCGAGCTTAGTCCTGAAGACTCAGCTTAAGATTCGGGCGAGAGTGGTTTAGGTGAGGTCCAGGGAGGCAGCGCCAACCACTACGACCACCGAACAACGGTTTTGGTTGCATAGTTTTTTTGCTTCGCAATGTGTTTTTGCATTGCGGCTCTTCCCAACCATCCTGTGGTGTTGGGTCCCCGTTTTGAAGACAGCTCCCCGCGTTCCTCCTCCTCTTCGCTCTTCGCTCCTCTCTTCTCTCCTCTCTCCTCTCTCCTCTCTCCTCTCCTCTCCTCTCCTCTCCTCTCCTCTCCTCCCCATCCCCTCCCCTCTCCGCTCTTCTCCTTTCGTCTCCTCTCCTCTCCTCTCCTCTCCTCTCCTCTCCTCTACTCTCCTCTCCTCCTCCCCTCCTCCGCAGTTCGCATGCGTCTCTCCTACGCAGTACATTTCGTGGCCCCAGAGGGAGCTCCACCGAAGGTCCCAATGGCGCAGCCCGAATTTGCCCCCCCCGCCCAGTACAGCGTTTCGTGGCCCCAGAGGACGCTCCACCGCAAGCGCCAATGGCGCAGTCCGCATGCGTCCCCCCACCCAGTACATCGTTTCGTGGCCCCATGCTCCACCGAAGGTCCCAGTGGTGGAACTCGCATGCGTCCCCTCCGCCCAGTACAGCGTTTCGTGGACCCTGAAGGAATTCCACCGAAGGTCCCAGTGGCGCAGTCCGGATTCGTCCCCCCCGCCCAGTAAAGCCAAAATGGCTTGAGCCAACCATTCTACGTCTCTGTTGAACCATTCTACGTCCAGTATTCCCAGCTTTCCCTTCCCATACCCTTATCTTTCGATGGCGCGGGCTCCGGGGACACCAGTTGGAGCAGCTCTTTCGCGAGACGTGCGCAGGCGCCTGTTCAGCCCACTCCAGGAGATGGACGGGCTGGATGGCCTTGACTCTGCCCCCCCGCCTCGCCCAGAGGTGCACCAGATCTCTTCGCCTACTCCGCCAGAGGTGCCATCTATGTTTTCTTCGCCTACCCCCCCAGAGGCCTATCAACAGCAGGCGCCATCTACTCCTCCAGAGGCCTTTCAGGCAAGAGCACCAGGAGCAGCAGCCTCAGGATCCACAGCGTCAGCCCCTCCGCTCACCATCGAGGGCATCGCGACGCTGATCGACAACAAGTTCCAGCAGCACCTACAGCCAGTAATCCGAGGCGTTCGCGCTGTAGAGGCAGACGTGGCCCGGATCGACAACGTTGTGCTGAACATGGATGCCACGATTGGGCAACGCCTGTCGGCGATTGATGCGGAGCTCAGCGCCCAGAAACTTCAGATCGCGGAGCTCACGGCGAACTCGTCGAAAATACACTCGAGAACGTCTTCAGTTGCGCCGGGCTCCGACAACGCAGGCAGCATGGAGGATCGTTTCAGACGTGTGGAAATCCAGCTCCAGACCCTCGCAGATGGCAAGAACGACCCCGACGCCCTCACGGCCGTCTTCGGCAACCTAGCCGGATTCACCACCCAGACGGACGCGGAGAAGTGGCTCTCCAAGCAGCTCTGGTACATGAACGCGCCTCTCCCAGGCACTGTTTATTGCAAGGGCGAGTTTTCAGGTATCTTGTATGAGAAGTTTGAGACCATGGCGGAAAGGGATTCGGCCGTCTCCAAATGCAAAGTGGCGAAGTTGTCGCATAACGGCAAAACCGTCTGGGCAAAGAGTGACCAGCCAATCCAAGTCCCGGCCCCGAGGTCGGTGCTGTTTGGGGCTAAGAAGTTGCTCGTGCAATGGGGGTTCAGTAGAAACAACCTGTGGGCTGACGAAAACACCAACACCCTCACCCTGGGCACGGAGAAGGTTTTCGAGGTGGCGGTGGAGGAGGGCATCATGAAGATCAGTTTTGGGGCGGGGTGGGAGGACTATGTGAAGGATGATAAGGAGTGGAAGGAGCTAGTGCAGACCGCAGCGCGCAGGCACGGACAAGGGCAAGGGCAAGGGAAAAGTCGCTAAAGGCGCTCTGCGCCAATAGGAACTTGCACGACATTTCGGCTTTCAACAGGACGGCCATCAGGCAGAAGGCAATGGAGGTCAAAATGGCCACCGTTATTCTTCTTCATGGCCATGTGTTTCACCATCCATGCACTGCTCTTCTTCGTCTTATTCTCCCTCTCCAGCCTGTCATGTACCAGACGGTTTTCGTCTACAACGAGGGCGCCCAGGACACTTTCGAGACCCTCGCCTGCGAGTTCCGGCAAAGGTATGCAGAATTGCATACTGGAACGTGGAAGGGCTCGGCATATCTAGCAACAGCGCGAAACTGGAGCAGATCATAAGTATAATGAAAGATCGTAACATTGCTGTCATGTGCCTGCAGGAGACGCACGTCCCGGCCGCTCCATACTTCGTCCTCGACGGATTCCTGCTGATCTTATCTGGAGGGCCAGAGGGGGAGCGAGAACATGCCGGAGTGGGATTTATCATATCGCCTTTGGTCCGGCATGCCATCATGGGGTTCATACAGCACAGCAACAGACTGGCCAGCGTGAAAATCAGAGTTCCAGGCGGCTCCATGGCAATAATCTCGGCGTATGCCCCCCAGTCTGGAATCGCATTCGAAGAACGGCACGACTTCTTCGGTGATTTACATTCGCTGATTACGAGCATCAGCGTGCCAGGCCCCATCTACACGTTCGGCGACCTCAACGCGCGACTCCCGAACGGGAGACACCAGGAATCCGATGTTGTTGGCCAACATGCTTGGGGAAACTCCGAGGCGACAATTGGCGCCACGAGCAACCAGCACATCTTGATTGAACATTGCACGTCCCTGAATTACATAATCGCGAACACGTTCTTCGACAGGCCCCTGCGAGAGAAGGTAACATACTTCGACTTGACCGCTTCTCCAATGGGCGCTCCGACCCCGGCCAAGTTTGCAGAGATAGACCACATCTTAGTGCACAGGCAGTGGCATGATACAGTTACTGACGTCCGATCTGACCGCAGTATTGGATTTGCTTCCCACCACTTCCTGGTGACAACCGCTCTGAGCATAGATATCCCGAAGAACCCGGCAAAGCAACGGAAGACGACGAGCGATTTGGATTCGCTCAAGTGGCCCCAGGTGCAATGTGAGTTCGCCGCCGCCTTTGTGAACGCCGCCGCTCAACACATTGATGGCGGCGCCGGGTTGGACAACCAGGCCGGAGGGCTCGCAACCACTTTCAAGACAGCAGCGGGAGAGTGTCTCGGACAACAGCCCGTGCAGGCGCAACGACCGTGGATTCGTACGGCCACGCTGGATTTGATTGCGCTCCGGAACCAGGCGCGCGTCCACAACCAGTACGAGTTGGAGAAAGCGTTGACCAGACAGGTCCGTCAATCATCGCAGCGGGATCGGAAGGCTTGGCTCGAGGACATGCTCGGCAGTGGCGAATGGAGTAATTTATGGAAGTTCAAGCGCTTGGGCGTGCAACCGCGGGGCTGTCTAAGGAACGCCCAAGGAAAACTGGTGGAGAGCACAGATCGGCTGGACACCCTGGCTGCCTACTACGCCGAAGTGCAGTGGATGCCGAGACCTATGGGCCACCCTCTCCCCAGTGGGCCACGGCTGCACGAACCGCTGCATGCCTCGTCTGCCAACTTCTCGGCTGCTGAGCTGGACGCCGTCTTGGGGAGATTGAAGACCGGAAAAGCGGCAGGCGCCGACGACGTGCCCCCGGATTTCTGGAAAGCTCTCCGAGATCAGCCAGACGCATGCGAAGTTATACTGGACATGTGCAACAATTGCTGGCGGCAAACAGCCATTCCTCAAAGCTGGCGGCATTCTGTCGTAACGGCGATCTTCAAGAAAGGAGATGAATCTCTCCCAGAAAACTATACACCTATCTCACTGCTCTCAGTCGGCTACAAAGTCCTAGCATCGCTCATTCTGGGACGCATCGTAAGTAGTGGAGCTGAGAGCCGCCTCCGAAACACGCAGTTCGGCTTCAGGGCCAAGCACAGCTCAACGGACGCCGTCTTCCTCATGCAGCGGTACATCGAGAGGGCATGGTCGACCTGGGACGGGTCGCTGTCCGCGATCCTCTTGGACTGGTCAAAGGCATTCGATCGAGTCGACCCGGCAGCGATGCACGTTGCTCTGGCGCGCTTTGGGTTGCCAGACCACTACTTAGCGATGATCTCTGCCATATACAACAACCGAACGTTCGAGGTGCGGGATCGACAGGGCTCGTCCGCGGTCTACTCGCAAGGCACGGGCATTGCGCAAGGGTGCCCGCTAAGCCCATATCTGTTCATCTTCGTTCTCACTGTGATAATGGCTGATGTAGGCGAGGATGTTCAGGCGGCCCTCGGACCGGCGTCGCCGTCTGACATCAACGCCGACATTGAGTACGCGGACGGCACTGCTTTGATATCAAACAACATCCCACGTCTGCAGTACGTCTTGGAGAGATTGTTGCATCGAGCCAGCATGGATGGACTGGAGCCGAACTGGTCCAAAACGGTCCACCTGCAAATCCGCCACAACGTGGATGTGGTCACGCCACAGGGCGCGCTGATCAAGCCGGTGAACAGCGCCATCTATCTTAGCAGTGTACTGAAGGCAGATGGGACTGCAGGGGCGTCCATCGCGCGCAGGCTCGGCGAAGCCACAGCTGCTTTCAATCAGTTGCAAAGTGTATGGCAACACGCGAACATTACGCGTGACAGGAAGACTGAGATGTTCAATGCGTGCGTGGTGTCGAAGTTGATGTACAATTTGGAGACGCTTTGCCTCCGCCAAGCTGACAAGCAGAAGATCGACGCCTTCCAGGCCCGGTGTCTCCGAAAGATTTACGGCATGCCACATTCAATGATCTCGCACATACCGAATGCGGACGTTCGGCGGCAAGCCCGTCAGCACCGACTGAGCATTGTAGTATTGATGCGGCAACTGGTGGTCTACGGGCGGATCGCTTCCCAGCCAGACCAGTCTCCACTACGAGCTGCTGTTCTGACACCGGGCTCGCCGGTGCCTTTGCGACCGCTTGGCGTTCGAGCGCGGGGGCGACCTCGTCTGACGTGGGCGCCGGTTCTGGGAGCAGGCCAAGCTAGCGATGGCCTCTTGTCCTCGTCCCCTCCCGCCCCTTCCACCCCCTCCTCTCCCGCCTCCCTCCCCCCCAGACGAAGCTTTAAGTGCATTGTTCAGGCACCCTCGTTTTTGCAGCGCATAGACAGCCAACCTGGAAAGCAATTGTCAAACAATATGGCCTTTCCATTGACCCCAAATTTGCTTAGGTGTAATATACGATTGCCGCTTATCCTGCGCGGCAAGGACTTTTTCCCCTGCTGAGCCGATGTGTCGTGCGACATGGCTTGCGAACGAACGAACGAACGCCCAGTAAAGCGCTTCGTGGCCCGAGAGGGAGCTCCGCCGAAGATCCCAGTGGAGCAGTCCGCATGTGCCCCCGCCCAGTCGAACGTTTCGTGGCCCAAGAGGGAGCTCCACATAAAAGGTCCCAGAGGCGCAGTCCGCATGCGTCCCCCCACCCAGTACAGCGTTTCGTGGCCCCCGAGGGGGCTCCACCGAAGGTCCCAGTGACGCAGTCCGCATGCGGTTCCCCCGCTCAGTACAGCGTTTCGCGGCCCCAGAGGAAGCTCCGCCGAAGGTCCCAGTGGCGCAGTCCGCATGCGTCCCCCCACCCAGTACAGCGTTTCGTGGCCCCCGAGGGGGCTCCACCGAAGGTCCCAGTGGCGCAGTCCGCATGCGGTTCCTCCGCTCAGTACAGCGTTTCGCGGCCCCAGAGGAAGCTCCGCCGAAGGTCCAAGTGGCGCAGTCCGCATGCGTCCCCCCACCCAGTACAGCGTTTCGTCCCCCCTCATGTAGCTCCACGGAAGGTCCCAGTGGCGCAGCCCGCATGCGTCCCCCCGGTCAGTACAGCGTTTCGTGGCCCCAGAGAGAGCTCCACCGAAGGTCCCAGTGGCCCCCGCTCAGTACAGCGTTTCGTGGCCCCATGGGGAGCTCCACCGAAAGTGCCAGTGGCGCAGTTCGCTTGTTTCCCCCCCACCCGGTACAGCGCTTCGTGGCCCCGGAGTGAGCTCCGCCAGAGGTCCCCTGGCGGAACTCGCATGCGGTTCCTGCGCCCAATGCAACGTTTCGCGGCCCCAGAGGGACCTCCACTAAAGATCCGAGTGGCGGAACTCGCATGCGGTTCCCCCTGCCCAGTACAGCGCTTCGTGGCCCCATGCCGAGCTCCACCGAAGGTCCCAATGGCGCAGTTCGCATGCGGTTCCCTCGCCCAGTACAACGTTTCGTGGCCCCAGAGGGAGCTCCACGGAAGAAGATACCCACAGCTGTGGTATTCACCGCTGCATATGGTTGGGCTCTTCGCCTGGCTATTTTTTGCATATGGTGTGGTCTGGTTTATCTGCCTGGCTGGTCGGGTTGGTCTACCTGGCTGGTCTAACTGGACGGTCTGGCTAGTCTGCTTGGTCGTCGCCGTGGTCCTCGTCCTCGCCCTCGACTTCCTCATCGTCGTTGGCGTCATCGTCATCGTCCTGCCCCATGCGTCGCCGCAGCCGGGGCTGGGACCGAACGCGCCGCTGCGTCAAGTCCGGCTGCGGCGGCAAGGGATGTGGGAAGGGAGGGAACATCAGCAGCCCTATCAGTCCTCATGCTCCCCAGGCAAAGTAAGGCGCTGGGGCATAAGAACTTTTCGCCACGAGCGGCCGAGAACGAAGGTACCTTGCCCTGGCAGTGGCTGGCGTGGAGCCCAAGACATTGACCCTGCTGCCCGGGGGTTCCCCCTGTGCGACGGGGGTGGGGACCTAATCGGGTGCCCCAAGACCGATGAAGGGGAGGAGGGGGAGGGAGGGAGCGGGGGAGAGAAGGAGGGAGGGAAGGGAAGGGAGGATAGGAGGAAAGGGAGGAGGGGAGGGAGGGGAGGGGAGGGGAGGGAGTGAGGAAGGAGGGAGTGAGGGAGGAGGGGGAGGGAGGAGTGACGGGGGGGGGCAAGCTAGGTGCGATCGCGTCATCCCTCCCATCTCTTACTATGGCGTAGATCTCCTCTCTATTCGCACAGTGGGATGTCGTAGCAGGGCAAAGCATTACACGGCATAGCATGGTGTTGAAGACCAACGCGTAGCCTGACATAGCATGGGGTGGCGACGCCTCAAAGTGGGGGGGCTTCTGCGGCCCAATCAATCAACGAACCGACACCGAATGTGTAGTCACTTCCGATGGTTGTTTCGGGAGCATTTTCTCTAGATGTTGGGGGCCTATTTGGAAGGACCGAAGACCATGCCGTGGCATGGCGCTGGAAATAACGACGCCAGCGCTGCAGCGGGAGGACGATTCGGAACGAGCGGAAGCGTTGAAATGAGGCCAGCGCTGCAGCGAGAGCACGATTCGGAGGACGCGTAGCCTGACATAGCATGGCGTGGCGACGCCCCAACGTGAATGAAAGGCTTCTGCGGCCCAATCAATCAACGAATCGACACCGAATGTGTAATCACTTCCGAAGGTTGTTTCGGGGGGACATTTTCTAGATTTTGGGGCTTATTTGGAAGGACCGAGAACCATGCCGTGGCATGGCGCTGGAAGTAATGACGCCAGCGCTGCAGCGAGAGCACGATTCGGAACGAGCGGAAGCGTTGACATGAGGCCAGCGCAGCAGCGGGAGCACGATTCGGAACGAGCGGTAGCCCGAAAAAGAAGTCAGCGCTTCAGCGAGAGCAACATTGTGAAACAAAAACCAAGCGAAAACCCGTTTCCCAGTAATCTGGTGTAAAAAACCAAACGCGGGAGGGGGGGCGGATATTTCCCGGACGTCACCAGGGGAGACAGGAGAGTAGTCTTCATATTGTGAAATTGTGGAGGGAGGGAGGGAAGGGAGGAGGGGACGGAGGGTGGGAGGGGGAGGGAGTGGGGGAGGGAGGGAGGTATGAGGAAGGGAGGGAGGGAGGGGAGGAAGGGAGGGAAGGGAGGGGAGGGAAGGGAGGGGAGGAAGGGAGGGAGGGAAGGATGGGGAGGGATGTAGGGAGGGGAGGGAGGGGAAGGAGGGAGGGGAGGGAGGGAGGGGAGGTGGGAGAGATGGAGCATGAAAGCACCAGCGAGGCAAGGGGGGGGGGGGGCCCTTGCCAGCCCCGCGCCGCCTCGGCCGCGCTCTTGGTGGTGGTGGCGGCCGCCCCGCCGGCCCCGGTGGCCGCCGAGCGGGCGGCGGGGGCCTGCTCCCTGCGCTCGGGGGGCGGGGGCCCCGGAGAGGGCGTGGGGGGGGCAGGGGGACGGGGGCCCGCGCTCCGTTTTGGCTCCTCCCCCCCTCCATCCCTCCATCCCTCCTCCCTCCCTCCCTCCTCCATCCCTCCTCCCTCCATCCCTCCTCCCTCCATCCCTCCTCCCTCCCCCGTTTTGGTTCCCCGCCCCTCCTCCCTCCATCCCTCCTCCCTCCCTCCCTCCTTTCTCCCTCCCTCCGCCCTCCTCCCTCCACACCTCCTCCTCTCGGGCGTCCACGTGGTGGCCGCTGGCATGCCCCGGGGCGCGCGCAAGGGAGCACAGGGGGCGCCGCCCTGGAAGAGAGCGGCACCAGACGCGCAGACCAGGTGTGGCAGTCGGTCCGTCGCTTCTCTGGCCGAGCCACTCCACGAGGAAGGGCAGGGCATGAGGGGCGGAGGGCCCAGGAAAAAACGGCCATGTCGTTTCCAGGGCCCGCCCAGAGCTGGGGGGGAGGAGGGCCCACGGGAGGGAGGGGCGGGGGGGGGCGAGGGAATGGGGGAGAGGAGCTGAGCATGTTTTCTTTGGGTGGAGGGCTCAGGGTGAAATCCATGTGGGCTTTTGCACCTCCAAGCTCAATCCGTCTTGCGATTCACCTCTTGCAGATGCAAGCCTCGAAAATCCATCGAAACGGCATCTCAGATCTCACCCTTTGCCCTCCACCCCCAAAAAGCTGCTCGGAGGAAGGGGGGGTCCTCCCCGAGGCGTCTCCCTGCCCCCTCTCCCCTCCCCCTCTGCGGGAGCGCACTGCTGCTTCTGCTGCTGCTGCTGCTGCTGCTGCTGCTGCTGCTTTGGGGGGGCGCGAGGCGAAACCAGGGAGGGAGGGAGGGAGAGGGGGCCCAATTAAGGGAGCTTCTTCTTCTGTTTATAAAAGAGGGGGCACAATGAAGGAAGTGAGAGGGGCTGGCGCCATATCTGGCATCCTCCCCCTCCCACCCATCCCTTTCTTTTCTGCTGCTCCAGAGAAGACCCCATCGTGTTGTGTACAGTGGGGAAAAGGAAGCTGCGCACATAGAGGGAAGATGTGGCGCATGAGCAGGAAGATGAGCAGGAGGAAAAGGAGGATTAGGAAGGAGGAGTGCGAGGACGAACAGCAGCAGCAGCAGGAACTGGCATGGAGAGAGCGGGAGGGGGCAGGAAGACCAGGGGAAGGCGGACGAGGGGAAATGAGGGGAGCGACAAGGATGAGGAAGGACTCGGAGCCAGAAGAGTGGCCCGCGCTGGGGCGAGAGTGCCATTCTGAGCGACGGGGGCAAAGCCCCGATCCTGAAAAAAAGGCCCAAGCTGCAGCGGGAACACCATTTTGGAATGGCCGAGAACGTTCGGTCTGGAACAAGACATACGAAAACACAACTCGGCACCATCCTGTGTATAAAACAATACGCGGTGGGAGTCGCGCTACTCCCCGGCCATCTTCGGGAGAGAGAGAGAGAGAGAGAGAGAGAAAAAGAGAGAGAGAGAGAGAAAGGACAGTAGTATTCATATTGGGAACTGTGCTCAATGGACAACTTATCTAATCAAAACATTCCCCGGACACCCCCCTGGACAACCTGGACAACCCGCGCTGATCAGTGACGAAAGGACGGCCTACCCGGGACAACCGCTTGGACAACCCAGCGGGGGTCCGGACAACCCCTCCAGACAACACTCCTTGGATAATTAAGCTCCCCAGGCATTTTCATCCATAAGATATGATAATTGTAGATCGGGGCTGTAGCGGAGAGAAAGGGAGGACCGATGAGGAACGGAGGTGGAGGAGGAGAAGGAGGAAGAGGAAGAGGAAGAGGAGGAGGTGGAGGAGGAAGAGGAGGAGGAGGAGGAGGAGGA